GACGAAGAATGTAGCAGATCATTTTCAGCTTCCTTGATAAAAAAGAATGGAAGATGCCTAAATTCGTAGATTTAAGGTCACTGATTGACTTTATTTTTTATAATGTTGAATAGACCGCAGATAAACAGAGCATAATTAAGCGACACTAGCTTTGATCACAATCCATTGATATGGAATGACCTCTTTGTCAAAACTCATTCAAGGTGAGAATGATACCATATAGAACGTAACTAGACCTGAATCCTTTGCCATAGTACTCATTACATTTTCAGATGTCGTACCTCGGCCGGAGCTTCTGGAAGACCTTGTGGAACGTCTTCAGACCTGTGTCCTCTGTCATTGTATTCGCGATTTCCAGCATCGGACCAATGAATTGGTACATATCCAAACGTTTCGCCAGCCTCGTAGTCGGCATTATCAGGGAGAGGCGCCATCGTCGGCACAGAGTTACAACTCATCAAAGTGACAAGTTAAAGCAATCCCCTTGACCAATTTTCTGTCCAACGATTCTGCATCACTTCTTGCAGTTATCTCTTGTCCTACCCTTTAGTCCTGTATCTCTTTCGCGCAGCCATACATTAGATACAAGTTGGTTGACCTTGTTTTCGCAACTTGGTCATATTGGTATGAATATTTAGAGAAACGCAGCTAGTCTGGAGTCCATTGTATGCATGAACATTTCCAAAGTTGGAACATGGACCTGGTACTTTTCCAGACGTTTTCCTGGCATCGTCATTGAGTATCGCCATTCTTAGAACCACACAATAACTAGTCAAAGAGACAAGTGAAGTTGATCCTTTGACCCAATGTGTGCTAAACGGTTGTGGTATCTTTCCTTCTATCCTGAGCTATTCACCATTCCTATCGTGATAGTGAAGACGTGATACAAGGATTTAGGAAATGTGAATAGCCCAGGACAAGAGAGCTATCACAACTGTTTAGCACACGTTTAGTCAAAGGATCGGCTTCACTTTTCTCTTCGACGAGTTGTAGTATGGTGCTAAGTATGGCAAGACTCACTAGCGATGTCGACTACAAGCCGACGAAGCGTCTAAAAATGTACCACGTCCATGGTCCGACTTTGGAAATGATCATGCATACAAATGACTCCGGACTAGGTTCGTTCCTTTAGGCCTTCCTGCTAATATGATCAAGTTGCGGAAGCAAGATCAAACAACCTCTATACAAGGAAAGGAGACTGCGACAAGACAAAAGGCCACACCATCTTGATCTTCATCTCTTCGAGCATACTTTATATATCCTATTTACCTATTCACACAATTCTGTGCTTTCAATTCCTACAGTTTTGTCCAATAATGTGTCTCTGCAAGTGGATGTAATGAGGCACAATCATCCTCACGACCGGTTCCAAGTTCCGTTTGAAGGGCTCATTATTTTAACATTATGCTAACATTATTGTTAACATTATGCTAACATTATTGTTAACATTGCTCTCAGATTCTGCAATTTAATGAAGAAGTATCATTCGGACACAGTTAATGAAATACTTTATTACGCCTC